AGAAGGGCTCCTTGGAACATCGTAAGCTTTCGATTTTCCTTACGACCTACTTATTTTCTCTGTTTCTCTTTTCTCTCTATTGTATTGGACTGCTCAGCAAGACCGAGGCTGGTCGTTCCTATTGGTGTAGAATAACTTCACGTTGGTGCATGCTTCGGATATCGACCGTCCAAGCACATTCACCATCAGGGTCAACCGTTACGTTGGACCGATATTGGAGCGACGTTGGACCGATGTTGACCGCTCTCCGCGCCGGCATTCACTCTCGCCACCCGCGAGCCGTCTGTGTCTCCGTGCGTACGTTCACTCTCGGCATTACTCTCACACGCTAGAGAGCCATGCGTTGGACTTTGTCCAACGGACGGTTGACCCTGTTCCCATTCTCCGCGTTTAGTACAAATACAGCCGAAGTCGGTTGCAGCGAGGTATTTCATTGGGGTTGCGTTGGACTTGCAGTGGATGTAAGTATGCTGAATAATGCGCCCATGGCAAAAAATGGACACTTCCCAAGAGGCCCAACGCGCAAGGAAGAGAGGCAGATGCAATAGACGAGTTGCAGCGCGTGCTGTGCGATATGAGACGTAGTATGGTACACTCTATTAACCTGACGCCTAACCGCTACAGTATGCGCTGCGACTCGTCCTTTGCCGCGTCTGCGTCTCTTCCTTCGCCGATGGGCCTCTTGGGGGACACCCAAAAAAATCAAAAAAAAACCGTCAAGGACCCGGAAAATAGAACCGCTCTGTTTCCCGTTCACCTCCAGTGTACGAGTCATCGACCAACGAAGGGGCTATTCGCACGTGTAAGCCTCCATCCTGCCGACAAACACCGTACTTTGATTGACAACGCACTCCACAGGAAAGCTGCAGGATAGGCGCTCGATGTGACGACTCTTTCAAGTGATAATCTAACAGCTCTGCGGAGCACATGTGGAGGCGGAGTACGCAAAGGAGTGGTAAGCAGAGTGTGCTGCAACGAGCGCACCTTAGGTAACGAATAAGCAACAGCCCGATTCCTTCAGCCCCTGGCTACTGCTTCCACTGGTATGTGCTTTCATGGAACACCCACACTGTATCGTAATCCCTCGTTTTGAGAGGGTCTACTAAAGAGCATAGTCCTTTTAAAAGTGTCAATAACTCGCCCTTGTCCCGCGTCCTTTGCTCAAACCCTATATATAGCTTCACCGATTTAGTTCGATCTATCTTTTATGGGCACAACAAACCGTGCCCACTTCCTCTCCCTTCCATGTACCTTTCACCTACCTTCATTCCCCTGACTCAGGTATGACCCGTTTGGCATCACTAGAAGTTGCAGTATACTCCGTTGCAAACCGTTTGCGCTCTGCTCTTTCTCGACAGGGCTGTCCAAGTAGCCACATAACAGAATTAGGACAGTGAACGTCATGGTGTCACATAGAGGCGAATTTAAGCCGTCGTTGGTTCATGAGGCGGGTCGGAAGGGGGAAGGGGGAAGGGATAGCCGTCACTAACTTCATTCTATATGCGTGGATTACGGAGTCCGAAGACGCCTTTCCTGAGCACATTCCACCATTAAGTCCCAATTCCCCCGTTACCGCCGCCTTATTTATTGTTAAGGCTTTTGTCTGTTGGCGTACGGTCTGCTCATCGATAGTCACACATCTTATTTTGGTTCCGCCAACTCAATGTAAATCAACTGCGCCGTTTTAACTTTCAGACCTGGAAATTGTGGTCGTCAACAAGCCATTAGAGATTTCCAACAGGCATCATCCACTTAAGCAAATTTATTTTCTGACGTTTTAATCAGCTTCCCAAACTATTCCGAGGCCCAAAGAAACCCCTGAATCAAAAATTTTAAACTTCGAGAGCCGCTTACGATTATTTGCGGCAGCCTTTTAATTGTGAAAGCCCGCACAGCGAAATAGCCGGGCTGAATGACTATCGTGTTCCAGGAAACCGTTATCTGAATTAAGGGCGAAATCGAGATTCTGTTTTATTTGAAGAGCGATGTTTGCAGGCGACCGTAAGCAGGACGACAACGGATGTTCTTGCCGCCCACTCGCTCCACACCCCATGACTGACTACTACCATCGTACAACGACGACCGCGAGTCTTGCGAAGAATGCACTTCGTATAGCATACATTATACGAAGTTATTCGAAGAACATGCACTTCGTTTCCGGGACACAATTCTGAAGGGGGCACACTGTATCTTCAGGTGATGTGGACAAACCGAGGACGTGCGATGAATTTAAGAATCGAACGGATGCTGTGAAGACTATTTACATTAATAATGCAGCAGTAGATGTCTACTGTCAGTACGGTAATCCAGGAGCATATACAGTTATCCAAAGGTGAAGATTTCATACATAATTGTTGGTTGTTCTACGTTTTGTGGGCAACTGTCAGGACACCAGTTTTGCGGGGGCGCTACAAGAGTTCCCTACTGCTGCCCGCAGCATGTGCGCCCTAGGACACTGCGATGACTTTGTCATCTCCTAACGCGCGCTTATTTTTGCGCTACAATGTAGCCTTTCTGATGAAGCCTCCCTAGCTTTATTCTCGTGTCCGGGTGCTAAGTTAGTTAGGGGGAACCACGCGGCTGAGCGGCGCTCGTTCAGCGTCTTAGGCTTAGGCATAGGGTCCGTTGTCATCTAGCCAAACCGTGGCAGTTTCGAAATACAGTTCCACCACAAACCGGGAAACCTTGGAGGTGCATACGAACAGAGAGGACCGCGCACCGCGTGGTCCTCTCTCAACCTTCCCCCGAATAAATTAGCACCCTGATCTGCTATCACTAATCACACTTATAGTCGAGGATCCAACGACGACACCACTTTCAACCGTGAAGTTGAGGATTATAAGAAACAGTTTGGAACGGTGCGTAATGCAGATATTAATTTTCTATGTTAACTCTACTGTCCTACCAGAGTTCTATTGGGGAATTTAGCCTGGAAAAGGAAACAATTTCTGGCTTGGACTCGACAATATGGTCGCATTGACATCTCAGGGCAGCTTACGATCTTCTGATTGAAGTTTGTTGTGCTGGGAATAATTCTGTTCAATTCTACAAGAACTTTACGGTAGGTTGAATAAATTTTCTCACAAATCGTGAAAAAACGCGCAGCAGTTGAAGCGCCTAAAATTAGCGTCCAACATGGGTGGGTGAAACGGCTACCGATGGTCTACCGTAACCCTGACCCGTCAAATAACATGCAAGTCAGCCGGACCACATACATTCGCACTGAGCTCGTCGTCTGGATCGGATTCCTATCTTTCCCAACGATTACCATTGGTCGGGAGTGGACCTGGGGTTCTCGCAATGAAAAAAAAGATTTCGTGCTGCGCAAAAAAGGAAAAGCTGGTCCGTCATAGCGATCTATACCCTGTCTCCTCTGCCCCTTCTTCCCCTTCCCATCGCTCCCCCCTCTACCCGGACCACATGACGACGACATTTACCCCTCGCCAAAAAGTATAATAATGAAGCAAAAAAAACCTGATAGCCTGCTCGATACGTGGGGAGTTAAACGATGCAGTAGAATAGGAGAACTTGACCACATAGAAAAGGAGGAACAGTCATTCCAGACACGAGCTCCAGTCATATGGGTCGGTACGGGCTTGATTTGTTTGACGGAGTGGTAGGGTAACCGACGTGGCTATTGAGCTAGATTTTTCTGAAGATAATCGTCGCGCAGAAAGGGCGGCGAAATTGCGGCGTGTTTCTCTATCGATAATCAGTGTACGACGGCTTTAAAAAGAACCTTAAGTCAGATCAAACTTGACTGTGAACCTTCATCTAGAACAGTGAATATATTATCGAAAATAGATTAGAGATGACAGCACGAACCAAGCCATTGTAGAAAGCCCAAGCCTGGTGAAGGCGGAGATCGGATGGTACAGGTGGGACTACCTCGGTACCCCTTCCGACGTTGAAGAATATGTTGTGTTATGAAACAAGGCAAATGTGCCTACTATAAATGAATTCTGTGGTTCTAAGGAAACAAAACGTAGCACTGCGGACAAAAGACGTAGCGAAGAGAATCTGTTTTTTTTTTTCGGGAGGGGGAGGAGGCGCACCTGCCATATTACCCGTAGTACAGGAGAGTACTTCTTCGGGCTGTCCAACACAATGAATAACAATATCAGTAAGCGACTCGTTACTTCTGATGAGGACCGGTGGATGTTCTACATTCCAAACATTTTATCCACTTTTCAGCGCAGGTAATCCACCCTAGAGTTCTCCACCTTATAATCCAGGGCAGAGATTGTCCACATCGTCTCGGTTCCAAGGACTCATTTCCTTGGAACGATGGCGGCGGTGCGTAGACAGAATCTCAGGATTTCTACTACATTATGCCGATACTTATCAGAAGTATACATAAAAGAGTCAATTAGGTGTCATGAGCTCTCTCATCTTTATCCTGTATTGGTGAAAAAGAAGGTCCCCCCCCCCCCTCGGAGTGGGTTTTTTTCCGGGCGCATCCATAGAAGACCTGGTAAGGCATTCTCAGTCCCTTTCAATGAATTGTCTGCCCTACCGCTCACGCGCCGTCGATGCAGCCGTTTCAACGGTGAGAACCAGCATCCGTTTTCAAGTTCTGAGCCGTTTCTTTGAGTATTTTTTTTACATTGCACCCTTTACCTTGGCGGAAGTGGTGTAGTGACAAGTGGCGCGCTTACCACGCGAGCGGTCCGGGGATCAAATCCTGGGTCGTGAGTCGCCCGGGCCAACCAAGCCTTCCATCCCTCCGGGGTCGGTTAATTGGTACCAGACTTGTCTGGGAGGATAAAAACACTGACTTGTACATCGGCTGGCCCCGCAAGTCATTGTATAGGCCACATCGCATTCAAACGCCACTACGAATGTACAAATGGAAGTAGAATGCGTGCCGCATCCCAAAAAGGGATTGATCAACGGCAAATGCTTTATCCTTTATGCTTTATGCTTTAACCCTTTACCTCGTTTGTCTTTCAATTACACCAACCACCAACTTATGAGCCATGGGTCTCTAGTGGCCGATTCGTGCCACCAACGGTGCTGACAAACGCGACACCAGTGCTGATAGCATGCATAGCGCGGTTACAGCTTACCTGGAATCCAATGTGTTGAGTTAAAATTTCAGTCTGGAGCAAAATTTCACAATCATAAATAATTTCCAGATATCTAAAGACTCCTACATCCTTAATGCTGAAGCGGTGATACCGAAAATTGGTCTTGATTTCATATCGACAAATTCCGGGAAAAAGGATATTGGCGTACCATTCACAACATTCAATAAAATGAGCGATAATATGAAGTACGTGTTTTTGAGTATTTTTTAGAGCTTTTTTTCTGATTGTGACGAAATATCTTTGGAAGTCATGAATTTCAGAGATTCCTGTGATATCTTGCGATACTACGGGGAAAGAACTGTTCCGATTTTCGACGATCAAACTGGGTATTTTCTTCTAACGCTAATAGTTTCGTTTTAGATTATTCATTAACAAACGCTAAGGCCGCGTTCATAGTTCGCGACTCCGGAGATTAGGATAGTACGCGACAATGAAAAACATATGTATTGACGGGGAGATTAGGATAGTAGTAGATTAGGATAGTAGTAGAGTAGGAGATTGCGCTGACAAGATTAGATACGTATCGATTGAAATCGCTGGAGAGTAGTAGATTGCGATATTACGATAGTAGGATAGTAGTAGAGTAGGAGATTAGGATAGTAGTAGATTAGGATAGTGCGCTGACAAGATTAGATATGTATTGATCTATTCGCTTGAAGTCGCCCAATCTACTACTCTCCAGCGATTTCAATCGATACGTATCCAATCTTGTCAGCGCAATCTCCTACTATTACTACCTAATATCCTGTCGCCTACTATCCTAATCTCCCGAGTCGCGAAATACGAACGCGGCCTAAGGATTGTTTCAGTATAAACTGAATCGATTTCTCAGATGAGAATTCTAGCCTTCGGATTTGAAACCTGGCTATCCTTAACTTTCAGAGGTTGGTGGTTTGGAAGCTGTGGTAACAATTTGAAATGGCGAATTCGTGCCCAACACCGGGCCTACATGTTGGCTGAATGAGTCAGTTTTGTCCTATTTATTTTTCATATTCCAAGAGAACTTATATTTAAATCAATAAATAAATAAATAAATATTGTTCTCGAGATGCTCGTATAGCTATGAGAACAAAATTTGAACAGTATTGAAAAACACAGATGTATTAGTTAACTAGGGCTATTTTTATCATTTTCAGCGCGATAACACTGATTTAGAGGCTTCAACGAGTGCCGATTTTAAGCCCTGCATGAAGGGGATATGTGCGCTGTCGCAATATACGGGGGCCATCTTCAGGACTGAACCTAGGAGAGGCAGAAGCTCCGGAGAAAGTAAAAATAGATACGCAATCCTGGGAAACGTTAAAGGAATCTTCCGCGGAAAAAGCTCCGCCTCCATTACCACAGAAAAACGATACCCCTTAGGCCCCTAGCCTCATGAGCATAGCAAAAAGAACGGAACATAAGCGTTAGTTTCGATAATACTAATCCTACACACAAGACAAAATGATCACCTTTAAGGATATCGTTTTCTGTGGTAATGAGGGCGGAACTTCTTCGCGTGGAAGATGTTCTCAGGGCCTAATTCACCAACAAAAATTGTTGGGGTGCTCCCGACACGTTTTACGCCTGTTTTATGCATTACCACCATAACGCCCCGTAAATTGCGATTGCGCCAAGATGATTTTTAGGATGTTTCGTTGCCCTCGACGGCCTCATTCCGTTCGCAAGAAGGGTTGACGTATCCTCGACCGATTTCAAGATTTGGGCAGACGCCACGTTCGCGGTCTTCCATGTTATCCTTTATTTTATTCTGTTTTAGCCTGCTCTCATTCATTCTAACGCCAGATGTAAAACTGCGCGAATGCGCGGCGCATCCTACACAAGTTTTTTAAGCATCTCTTATCCTCTTCGAGTTTCACTTGTTCAGAACGTCCCTGAGGCGGACAAGGGGGTGGAGATTGGCGAAAACACAAGGACATGTAATGGTGGGCTGGGACATGCGTTCTCTCGACGGCGGCCGTGTAGCTACGAGGCTGCGTTGCGAGATGGGCATCTCAGGAGCGGTCAGACGCCGATCGCGACGAAGCCGTTTTGTGTGAGTAGTGATCAATTTCCGAATAGGAATGCATATGCGCTAAAGGACACGAGAGCCAGACGGCAAAGGTGTTTTCCTCAATGTAAAGCGCACTGTTGGCCACGTGGTCTGGCAAGGGGTTCATCTAATACAGTGCGTTTCAAAAGTATAAAGCCACCCTTGAATGAAGCTGTTCCAAGTTAGAATGAAGGTTCCGTGATTTGATGAATAGTTTATCGAATTCAGCACGCTCTGAAACTATAGTAAACTTTGTTGTACAAACCACTATAAGCTAGAAACGGTTCCATAAGAAAATTTGAAAAACTCCCCTGTTTCAAAAGTATAAAGCCACCCCGGGCGAGTAGGCAACAGCGGTAAAAATTTTGTTCCTGTTAACTCATTTGGAGTTCTTTGGCCATAATTAGCACAAACACATTACGTCTTCAATATATCTCGTGGATCTACGTTTTCTTTGGAAGAGCAAGTTCGTGCGAGGACGTTACATCGAGCTGCCCATTCAAATCGCTCCATTGCTGCTCAACTTGGACGTTCTCAAAGCTGTATCGACATTTCTTTTGAGGAATCCAGCTTATCATGAAAGGAAAGATCCCTGAAAGGTCACGTGTTCTGCTTGAGTATTATATCCGCCATATTAAACGATCCCTTTCCAATTCTACTGCGACCATCAGTCAGATCCGATACGAGCTCTCCCTTTTTGCTTCGAAAAGTTCCATCTGGAGGGTCGCTAACTCTGCTCCAAATATCGTGCGACAATCCATGATGAAGACTCCACGTCCGGAACAGCATCACAAAGCACCTCGTCTCGAACTCGCCCGGAGGAACATGCGAACGAGTTGGGGTTCGGTAGGTGATTCTACGGGGGTAGGGAGACACTTCTGTGGTTGAAAGAACTTCAACTTAGACGGGCCGGATGGTCATCACAGATTCTGGAGAGATTTTAGCAAAGATCCGCTGGTATTTAGCAGGAGAGACTTCGGTGGTGGCGCATAGATGGTCTGAGCTGCATTCTACAGCGATGCTGTGCTCCCTCTGTCTTTCGTCTCGTGTCAAATGGACCCCAGTGAGAATCAGGATGCTTTTCTTAATGATCTTCTCTCGTTTCTGTGTGGAAGTCGTCGGCAAAACTTCATCTTTATGCACGATTACGCCACCATCCATCGCAGCCGGTCCACTCAACACCGGGTTTACGTCAACAAAATCAGTGTACTGGAATGGCCTGCTAGCAGCCTAGATCCAAATCCAATAAAAAACACCTGGGGTATCATTGTCCGACAGATATACGCGTATGGAAAGCAGTACAGTAACGTGGGAGACCTCAGACAGCCATCGAGACGTTTTCCTACCACCTGAATCCCGCTATACTTCTGAAGCTCACGGATAGTATGCCAAATGGTCTATTAAATCTCACTTCTAAAAAAGGAAGTCACGCTAGTTACTAATATTTACGATGTTCACTTTTTCTCTGGAAAAATAGAGTTATGTTGCAAGTGGCTTTATACTTTTGAAACAGGGGATATTTGGAAATCTTCTTATAAAAATGTATGTGAATCATTTTGCTTCCTGAAATAAAGAGAACAATGGTTTCCAAACACGCTGAATTCAATAAAGTTTATGGCAAGCCATGAAATACTCACCTTAACTCGGAAAGTTAGTTTTCATGGGTGGCTTTATACTTTTGAAACGCACTGTATTTCTCGCTCACCTCAGAAGGGTCAACCGTGACGTTCGCACATTTTCAAAAATTTCGCGAACACCCTTCCTAGGGGGGTCTCGATGCGACCCCTTCACCACCATGAGACTCAGGATGCTCCCCCTCCATCTACGATCCCCCTTCCTCTTTCTCCCACCACCACCCTCACCCTCATGAAAATTTCTATAGGATCGATTCTGAGACCAGTCTCGACACAGCCCAACTCTGCCCACCTCTCCTCAAAAAAATCGTCGGGCGGGGGGGGGGGGGTATTTATTGGTCAACTAAAAGGGAAATACTTCCTCCTATCCTACCTCTCAATGATCGACGACATCTAAAATCCCCTAAAAAACCGATGAACACAATTCACCCAACAACTACTGATCCCACTCAACCCCTGAATGCGACCCCTCACCAAAACCAACCACAAATGCGACCCCCTCGTTCGAATAGTGCGAACGCACGGTTGACCTTGCCTCCACATAAGCTCAGCCACCGATCATAGATTGGGGGTTTCGCGTTTCACTCGCTGACACTTGTTTGGGATAGCGGTATACTTTCGTAATTGATTTCGGAAGCGTATTTCATTCAAAAAGATTCTAACCAACTTGGAAGGGGTTCCAGGATAGGTCAGGAGGTCGAAGATGAAGAAATACACCTAGACGAAATGGAGGGGTCCCTCTGAGGATGCTGGACGATGCGCGAGCGAAGTGCTTATCCCTAAAGGCATAGCAAAGAGCTCCTCCACTTTTTGGAAAATTTATCAAACATTGGCATCCTTTACTTGCCCATAACCATTACAATACAAGAATCACTGCGTGCACGATTCACAACGAGAAATAGCGAGATTCAGACTAACGCTAAGTCGCGCGATCGAGTGTAAACGCGTCGTAAGTAATGAACTGCATCGGGTGGGCGAGACTAAATTCAAGGGTTTCGGTTGCTTCCACCATGTCGCCAAGGAACCGTGTTGTGCGTGAGACATAGTGCGGTTCCAGACTAATTCGATAACTAATCTAACCCTATTTTCGTGATGTTTCCTTTCCTACCGTGATGTTCATATTTCAGAGCTGATCGGTCGATGTTGTGTATCGTCTTGTTCGGAATAAATTCATTTGATCATTGGAGACTTTTAAATCTTTATATCAGCAAAAAATCAATATAAACGGTCGATATCTTAGTGAACACCGTCATATTTATTGAAGAGAAACAAATACTTTACAAACACATTGTCGACGCCATAGAATTCTTGATAAATAATCGATAATCGATTGGTTAATAATTATTGCGCTGAATCCGTCGTCCAGGAAGAATGGACGTATTTAGAAAGGAGATAAAGCTCAAAAGTGAAAAAATCACGAAACTAGACTTGGTAGTTATCGATCCCATTCAATATTAGAGAAGGTGTGAAATGCGAAAGTAGGTGTCAGACTTTGCGAATCGCGCGATTAGCTAGCGATTGTTCGTAAAAGTCTGAAAGTCAGATTTTTCTAATAGAATACAATCCTAATTTTACTGCATTTTTGCGTGCTTATTCTGCGAGCCAAGCTTATGAGAGGAAAGATCGAAAGGAAGAACCGTTTTTGAAATGCGTGCAGATATTGTCATATTAAGCACACTGCGGGGTTGGTGACGAAGCCGGCGCCAACATCTTACGGGGGAATTTTCGGGTCGCACAACTTCGAGAATGGTGGTGTTCCGAAAATTTCCTGACTCCGTCACTAAGTCACACTGCGCCAAACATTATTATTATTCCCTTTCAAGAACAATGAAAAGCTTTTAACCTGCGATTATTTGGCCT